GAAAAAAAAGATATCAGTTATATTGATTTAAAATTTCAAATTAATTGACTTACTTATTTAATTAGTTTTAAAATTCAAACTATTAGCTCAAATTGATTCATTTTACGTGGGATATATTAAGAGATTAATTATGAATAATATTTACTTTAATTTTGACTCTCAAATATTTTGCTCATTTAATGGGCATGGATTAGATGTTATAGGTTAATAACTGAATTATTGGTATACTCATTTAATGAGATTTAAAATAAAAAAAAAAACTAAACGAGTTTGTATTTTAAAGCAAGAAGCTATAAATAAGAGAGTTAAATTATGAATAATATTAATTAGAGAAACTGATATATTTTATATAAATAGAAGGATATGTTTCAATTGATAACATAATTGCTGAATTTAAAGATTCTATACTTAAATGTAATTATGTTTGAATTATATTTAGGGAAGATGATGTCAACACTTTGATCTAACGGTAAGAAACATATGATTGAAATACAATCAAGGGCCCTGATTGCTTCATTGGTGAATTAAGGGTTTTCTTTTAATAATATTTAGAGATACTCAAATAGCTCGAAGTTTGTAATATTGAATTTATTTTGGTCTTTCCAATCAACTCGTCTTCAATCGTGTTGTAACTTATATTATGGATGATACATTATCAGCTGGTGATGATCATATTCATGATCAACATGAATATCCTAAGGATTATGCACATGATTATGAAGATTTCGGGTTAGGTGATCATGATTCTCTATATAATATGGATTTTCAAATATCCGATACTAGCAATCTAAATTTAGGGTGAATTTACTTTATAAGTTTTTATACTTCCGTATTTTATAATAATAATGTTGATATTTATATTTTTTTTTTGCAATATGGCCTAACTTGCACTTGCAAAGATGAGCATCCATTAGAACATATTCAAGATCAGATGTATAACAATTCCAAATATCATTCGGTGATTGTAGTAGCCATAAAGAGGCAGAAAACGAACTCGAGTTCAATGATAATGAGGCAGATTATAATATAGACGATGATAACATTGATTTTCAGAAAGGTTAGTATATGAATAAGTAAAAATTTTAATAAAATAGATTAATTATTCGACAGTTTTTAATTATTTTTTCGCCTGGTGGATCATCTTATAGACGATGCAGAACAATCTCATGTTACACATGATTATGTTTCGCCTGGTGGATCATCTTATTGAATTCATGTTATTTCAGACCACATCAAACCTAAAATCAATTCAATTTTTGATTCATACAGAGCAAGATTATCAATGTACTATAATTACGCATCATTAGCAGGCTTTGATGTCAGACTTGGACTTATTAGAACCACCGAATCCGACATTATAACACAACAACAGTTGCTATGCAATCGGGAAGGTAAACCAAGAACAGCTAAAGTGGATACTTTAGACCCTCAAAATAATAAGATTCAGAGAAGGAAAGACTCATTTAGGTGCGAATGCAAAGCCAATTTTTTTTATTCTAGTAGATGATACTAATAAATATATTGTTGCTGAATTTGTCGAACAACACAATCATAAGTTGTTTGGTAAGGACAATATGTTTGTATCGTACAAAGAGGAAACTTGATTATTCACAGGAGATCTTTATTCATAATTTGTCAAAGCAAAATATTGGTGCCTCAAGAGCACATAGATTGTATACTGGACTTTAGGGTGGTTCTGACATTCGCGGTGGATTGGTTTCTGATTTCAAGAACAATACTAGAAATCTCAATTCTTACATAGGTTCCAGGGATGCAAAATTCCTTGTAGGGAAGATGCTGGAAAGGAAAAAAAGTATACCAAGTTTTTCTTTTGATTTTAAATTTGTTGAGAAAAAATTGAATGCTATTTTTTGGGTTGACGAAACCTCAAAGTACAACTACAATGCTTTTGGAGACGTTGTTTCTCTCGATGCCATATTCAGCATGAATAAGTATTCATACATTCTGCAATGTTTTCACATATGTTTTCTTGCTTCCAATAATGCATAACAATTTTTTTCTTTTAAAACATATATGATATGGTTTTCGTACCTTTCACTGGGATAGATAATCATAAGAAATGTGTGACTTTTGGTGCTGGACTTTTGAGTAGAGAAGATGGTATTTCTTAGTCTTGGCTGCTTACAACATTTTTGAAAGCATTCAAAAAACAGCCTACGCTTGTTCTTACAGATCAAGATCTAGCTTTAATCAAGGTTGTTAATCAAGTATTTCCAATGTCTGCACACAGGTTTTGTATGTGGCATATTACAAAAAAACTTCCAAACAAGGTGAATATTTTTTTTTTATATTCAAAACAATGTCAATATGTTTACCTTGTTATTGCATATCGTTCAATCAGAATTTAATTTTTCTCAAAACAAATGATATGACTGAACTGCATTTAAAAGGTGTATACTGATAGAATAAAAACTAAATTCTGCAAGAATTCATCTATACACCATTCATACCCTTCATTCGTTGTTTAACACACACACACACACACATATATATATATATATATATATATATATATATATATATATATATATATATATATATATATATATATTATGATAACATCTGAATTAGCCACAAACTCAGCTTTTCGAAAGCGTTTTCACTCCATAATTTGGAATTCTAAGCTGGAACCACATGTTTTTGAAAAGGAATGGAAATCTTGTTTACATGAGTTTAACATTTCAAATAACAAGTGGATGCAAGAGATCTATGGGTTGCGTAGACGTTAGGTACCTGCATTCTTCAAGGACATACCGATGTCTGGTCTTATGAGAACTACATCATTGTCGGAAGGCCAAAATTGGTCGTTTCAGAACAACACCCTTACCGGTTCTTATCTTTTAATGTTTATGATGACATTTGAGGGTGTTATGGAACTTCAAAGGCGTAATAAAGTTATAAACGACTTTAACACTACTACAATAGTTCCTAGATTCATCACATCTAGTCCAATTGAACCACATGCTTCAAAAGTCTACACTTGTAAAATTTTCTATCAGGTGCAGAAAGAGATTTTTGATTCCAACAAAACTTGCTTCCAGATGAGTGTTACTTCTAATAATGGTGTTGACACTATTATTATTTTGGAGAAGCAAAAGAACATAACAACAAGGCAACCATCAAGTCCTGTTGTTGATGACAAAGTTGAGGAATACTATTACGATTCTCTTACAGAGGATATCCAATACATGGTACGTTATTTCATTACCACCGCATACTTATTTTGTTTTAATCAAACAACAAGTCTTTATAACTAAAACTCTTATTTTATCATACATATTTCAGGTTACACACTCAAAAATAGATGGCTCATACAAATGTACCTGCATGCATTTTGAACGTGTAGGTCTTTTGTGTAGGCACACATTCTGTGTATTTAAGTACTACAATATTGATTAGATTCTCGAAGAATACATTATGAGACGGTGGCGTCGGGATGCTGTTCCAACAGAATTGCATAAAAGGCGTTTTTCTAATTCTTTGTTAGACTGTAACTCTGACATGATGGTTATTGAATTTTTCTCAAAAGTAGATCGTTGTGTTTCATTTTTAAGCCATGATGCATCGAAGTTAAAGTCATGTCTTGAAGAGTTGAACAAGTTGAAGAAAAAATTTGTAGATGATTGTACAGCCCCTAAGATGCCATCAAGAGAATCATTCTATAACCAGATTATCGGCATACAATTAACTAATGATGCTTTATATATTGACAACCCATCGGATATTAGTAATAAGGGAACTGGCAGTCGTGATAAGAGATTAAAATCAAAGAAAGAAATGTTGGAAAAAGCATGTTCGAAGCCTAAGCGAAAGTGTGCTTTATCTAAACAGCTGGTTAACCATGATAAACGTAACTATCCTCTTAAAAAACGTGACTAAGTAGCATGTTTTACATGTAGTTTTTGTTTTAATTTTATGTTACACTAAAACTTTTTCATTCCCCAATAACTTCATTTATTGATTAAAAATTTCATAGTCTTTAATATAATTGCCATGTATTGTTATATGCATTCCACTTTACATATATTCTTTCATAAATTCACAACCATTTCGATTTTTACATACATTGTTATATGCATTCTACCATAATATATTGTTATATGCATTCCACTTTACATATATTCTACCAGAATACGTTGTTATATGCATTCTACTTTACATGTATTGTTACATGCATTCCACTTTACATATATTCTACCATAATATATTGTACCAATAATTATAACATTTTTTACCCACGATTAAAGTGTACACCAACTAGTATCAAACTTCCACAACAAATGCATATAATAATTACATTATCGGAAAACAAAACTTAACTGTATTTGATTCTTAGATTATAACATTTGATTCCACAACAAATGCATATAATAATTCTACCATAATATATTCTACAAATAATTATAACATTTTTTACCCACGATTAATGTGTACACTAACTAGTATCAAACTTCCACAACAAATGCATATAATACTTACATTCTTGGAAAACAAAACTTACATGTATTTGATTCTTAGATTATAACATTTGATTCCACAACAAATGCATATAATAATTCTACCAGAATATATGGTACAAATAGTTATAACATTTTTTACCCACGATTAATTTGTACACTAACTAGTATCGAACTTCCACAACAAATGCATATAATAATTACATTCTTGGAAAACAAATACTATCTTTTACCAAAAAAACATAAAACTAGTAGAACAAATATCATTCACATTCAACTGTCTCCCGAGAACACATTAACATACTTCACCAAGCCTAATATCTATAACAAAATAAACCATTATACCAAAATTCATTCAACATAAACCATCCTACCATTAATAAACAGTTTCCCCAAAACGAACAATACTAAAACAAAATAAAGGAACATAACATACTTCAATTCCTAAAAATAAGACTTAAACCAAACATAATAACAATAGTCTTTCAACACAAACCATCCTAACATCATAAAATGCCCATCTTAAAATCGACGCCTTCCACGTCTCTGCTTCTCCCTGATTTCTTTCACTTCATTCATCACAGCCAACTTTTGCAATGGATCGAGCCTCTCATACTCTTCTGCATCTTTCTCCAACATACTTTTATGCTTGTTGTACTCCGATTTCATAAGCCTTGCCATGTATTTGATTCTTAGATTATTTAAAGCAACTACATCCCTCTGTTTTTTCCTGTAAAACCGCAATCCCAACGCCCTTCATTCCCCCCCCCCCCCTACTATATGACTCCATATGCCTCATAAGATATACTCCACAGTCTGATCCTTCTTTCTCTACTTTACATGGCATTTTCATTACACGAGCTTTAATCTTGTTGAAAGTTGTTGACTTTTGGTAATTCTCTGTTTTTAAATAGTTCCCAAGCCATTTTTTCTGCGATACAATACAATCAATTAACAATACACTAATAAACTCTTGTTTTTTAAATATTATAAAAAAATAAAACTAAATCATACCACACGAATGTGTTTTATTCCATAGATGTCCTCAACAGCACCATTTCGGTTCACATGGTCTATAATGTAGTAAGTTGGAACCCTTAGATCAAAGCATATCATATAATATGTACTCTTATCAACTATTGGGAAGAGAACCTGGCATAAAACTGATTTTACAACAATAAGCTAATTTTGTTTGTTAGGGTTGTAATCGATAAAAAACAATAGTTAATTAAATTACCAGTCCAATATCTTTAAGCTTTTCCGGTTTTGGTAGACTTTTAAGGTGTAGTATCATCAAACAATTTTTGAGTTCCATCAGATGACACTGATCCACCCAATATCTCTTCTGCCTGTACAGATTAAGAAATCAATCAAAACAACACATATTATTGGACTTGAACTAAATTTATATTCAATACTAACCAAAAAATTTGTGTCGAAGAAAATACTAGAAACCGATCCTACATCCCTTAGTTCTTCCATTCTGTTGAGTAATGATAACCAACAGTCAATGATTATCGCATGAATAAACGTGTTGCTTTTAAAATGATATGCGAATCCTTGATGCAACACATGACCGCTCCCAATGTTCCATGTCTCTTCCCTGATCAACAATTATAAAATGATCAATCATATAACACCACATTTTAAAACCACAAAATTATATTATTTAACTTACCCATAATCTCTTTTTGATGAAAAAACTGAATTGTATAACGTAATTTCATCCTTCTTCATCTTGTCCCCGATTTTCACAATCCTTTCAACAAAAGGTGATTTTCCATATACATGTATCTTTTGCTCTATCTTCCCCATTTTTCCATTGCCATCATCTTCCTCACATACTTCAATTGTTTCCAAGATTTCTTTTCCTCTTTTTTTTTTTTTATCTTTTTTATAACTTTCCAACACCATGTCGCCAACACTTCAGGCTGCTCCAAGAATTGTGAACATGTTAGGTTGTCTGTATTAACTGTCTTTTCCACATTAGGTGTATTGAAACCTCCACCATCATCATGAAGATCCCCATCAACTACCAATCCTCTAATTGGATAGAATTGTTCTTCCTTACCACCATCTGACTCTCCTTCTTTTCTATGACCATCAAAACCAGCTTCATTACTATTCATTCCTCCATTACCTGCCTTATTCACTTCCTTGAACAATTCTTGATTTTTTTCATACCACTCCTTCAACATCAAGTTGTCTTGGAATTTCTCTATTCCATTTTTTAGAGCTTTTTCAATATTCTTCTTCTCGGACAATATTATTCCATAGCTATGCTCTATAACAGCTACGTATGCCTGTAAGTTTTATTTTAGCAAATCAATAAAAACATTCTAACAGAATTAATCTTTAACATACATATTACCTCACTAACATTGTGACACAGAATACAACTTAAATCAGTTAAATGTGTATAAATATTCTGTAAAATCATATTTATGAAATTATAAAACACAATGTAGATTCTGGAAAATCAGTTTATGAAATTCTAATTAACATGAAATTCTAATAGAATAAAAGCCTTACCTCCTCATCCCCATACAATCTCATTAGCCCATCCGACATTCATCTTCATCAACCATTTCTTCATCACCATCAATATTTTCAAAGTATTCTTGTAGTTGTCTACCAAACCCCCCAACACTAATTTCCAACTTCTCTATTTTTTCAAGAATAGCACCCGTAACATTCCTAACAAATGGTAACCTCTTAAATATCTTCAATCTTGTAAACTTCATACTATATATATATATATATATATATATATATATATATATATATATATATATATTATATATATATATATATATATATATATATATACACACACCAGCTACATAAAAAAAACTTCATCAATTAGTTCATTAAAAATATACTATCATACATTAAAGTAAATATCTAATTGAGATACCAAAATTACCGTAAAAATGAGTATAGGTCCACTGTAATAGCATGTCTTATCATCTATTCTCTACAGCTGCTTTCTGCTGACCAAACAATTTATAATATACTTGCACCAATCTATTTTAGAGAAGACTTTTACCATGACCAACTTATTCACAACATTTATTTGATTGGTACCACTCAAAGTTGATTCCACAAATGTGTTAATGAAAAGGGTCAGAAAATTTAGCCTAAACATAAGATTGTCTTGCTTTGTGTTTTTAATCCTTTTCAGGTATTCTTCCCCATTAAACCCTTTTTTATCATATTGACTTTTCCATTCTTGCAGAACTTGATTATCTTTCTCACAACTAGTCATGCTCAAGAAGTCTTCCCCTTCATTTGGTAAACCCAACATGTCATGCACTGTGTCTTTCGTAATTGTTATGATCATATTCTCTAGAACTAGACGACAACTATCTGGATCGTAGTGATCTAACATATAGTAGTTAAGTAACGTTGGAGTAGTGTCCATGTCAATGTTCAGAAGTGAACCAAAACCAATACACATAATCCCAGTTTTTGTGCAGGGGACATTACTTTGACAGCTGCACTAATCCTATCAGGAGTCATCCTAGTTGCAAGTCTTCTATACCCTTCTGGATGGTCCTTGCTTACCTTTCTGACCTTCTCCTCTTTTGTTTTGATATTAACATTTTCATGCCCTATTTTTCCCTTCTTTCTCTTTGGAGATTTCTTTGAATGTGCATCATTCACTACCTTTTTTCTGTTTACAACATTTTCTTTATCTTCCATTTGCACACCAAAATTTTCCTCTTCATTGTTTTTCTTTTACCCACTCATACTCCCCAAAAGTAACACATTTAGACTTCTTGGTTTTTTTCCTTTCACCACTTGCTTCCGAGGATTTATTACTATCCTTAGCATGTGCACTTCTCGCAAAACCTTTCCTTTTCATCCTTCTAACAAATGTGTTATCACTTGGTATTGTCTCTTCTTTATTTTTGTTAACATCTGTTCAATCACACAAACATAATTACTCACTATATACTAGAACATGAATACAATAATTAATGTTATACCATCATTCTCATAATTAAATTCTATAAATAAAATAATTTCACGCAATAATGATGCTACCTGATTTTCCAGATTCTACATTGTTCTTTGCATGTTCTGATCTTGAAGTTTTTTTCTTCTGTTTCTTTGTTTTTCTTGATCCAACAATATTTCTATCAATTTGCTCACTTCTAACACCTTCTGCTTCATATTCTGGAAGAATGCATTTCATAAAGAAAATATATTAAATACATACATATTCTGAAAGAATGCATTTCAGAACACCATTACAAAAACAGAAAGCATTCTAACAGATTATTTATACACACTTAACATGTTCCCATTCTTAATGAATATAAACACAAAACCTTACTCTTATTCTATGAGAATATGATTCAAACACTTACAACACTACCAACACTTAACATGTACATTATAAAAACAAGAAGCATTCGAACAGATTATTTATACACACTTAACATGTTCCCATTTGTTAATGAATATAAACACAAGACCTTGCTATTATTCTATGACAATATGATTCATAGAATCTATACAAATGAAGTAAACCATCAAAATTAGGGGATTAAATATAAAAAATAACTGAGAATTCTTAATAAAATCAAACACATCCAACACTACCAACAGTAGAAGAAAGTATTTTAAATATGTTCAAAATCTTGAAGAACGCATTTCATATGACCATTACAATAACAAAAATCATTCTAACGGAATATTTCTACACACTGAACATATTCTCATTCTCAATTAATATAAACATAAAACATTACTCTTATTCTATGAGAATATGTTCTAACACATACAACACTACCAACACTTAACATGCACATTATAAAAACAGAAAGCATTCTAACAGATTATTTATACACATTTAACATGTTCCCATTTGTTAATGAATATAAACACAAAACCTTGCTATTATTCTATAAGAATATGATTCATAGAATCCACACAAATGAAGTAAACCATCAAAAACAGGGGATTAAATAAAAAATAACTGAGAATTCTTAAACAAAATCAAACACATCCAACACTACCAACAGTAGAAGAAATTATTTTAAATATGCTCAAAATCTTGAAGAATGCATTTCATATCACCATTACAATAACAAAAATCATTCTAACAGAATATTTCTACACACTGACCAAGTTCCCATTCTCAATTAATATAAACACAAAACCTTATTATTATTCTATGAGAATATGTTCAAACACAAACAACACTACCATTCTCAATTAACATAAACACAAAACCTTAATATTACTCTATGAGAATATGGTTCATACTTTCTATACATATAAAGTAAAGCTTCAAAAGCAGGGGATTAGAACTATAACTAAAAAAATATTTATTTTTCCAAAAAAAACGAAAACCATGAAAAAAACTTACAAGCAATACCTTCAAAAAAATTTCAAGAACATCAAACACATCATAGTTTTATGAAATTTTTAAAAAACTAAACTGACAACTCTTAAAAACAAAATCAAACACAACCAACACTACTAATTCTAACAGAAAAAATGTTAAATATGTTGAAATTCTGGTTTCGCATATCAGTTACATTTAACAAAAAATTATCGAGTTTTAAATCCCCAATTTCATAAAACTCTAATCTAAAAATAAACCCTTTTTAAACTATTTCGTTCTTTTTTACTTAAACTAACTAATCATCCACATGCAAGTGCTTAATTTGTAGAAAATTCCAAAAGAATGGTGTGTACTCAAATGATTTCCTAAAAAAACATATTTATAAAAATAAATTACCTATAGGTAGAGCGACGAAATCATCATCGTCTTCATCTAGATTCAACACTGTTTCTTGTGTGTTCTTAAATTTCAATTTGAAAGAACTCGTCCTTGTATTCCTCATTACACAGCGATTTCTTCTACTTCAAACGATCACAACGCAATTTTTGTGATCAATCTTCAAGAATCGATCACTTTATATAACATACACAACAGAATCCGCAGATTTTTGGGTTGAGTAGATAATATAGTTTGATTTTGTGTTCCGATACAGAGGGTAGTGGAATCCAGGTGCATGCGATGTTATAGGGATTATGCGGGTAGTTTTCTTCAATTTATTCAGTTTTCTATTTTAATGGAGAGGACAATGTACACTTATACCCTTATTCAATCGTTATCTTTAATTGAGCACCCATTTTCATTTATTGTTTATCATTTAAATATTAATCATTTTCTTTTAGAAATTAAATAATTGACTGGTCCACAATTTTGCATACAATAACACAATAGATACTTTAAATAGAATAACGTAAGCATATATATATATATATATATATATATATATATATATATATATATATATATATATATATATATATATGATGTTTTTTATAAAGTAAATGTACGACGTTGTTTTGCAATAAAGAGAAAATAACTTTTATTTTGATATAAAAAGAATATGTTGCAACTTTTGAATGATATGATTTTTGTTTTTGATAAAAGTTAAAACATTTATTTTCTTGCATAATGTTGTCAACATTGGGAACTTTAAACTCTTTCTCCATTGGAAGAGATTGAGTTTGATCTTTGCCACATAACAAATTAAATTATGCTAACAATGAAAATCAAAGGCTAATAATTTTTTCAACATCAAATAAAAAGCTAAATGTTCATAAATTTTCTGCTTGTTCTCAATGCCATAAAAAAAAGAGTCGGGGTAACTGTGTATCACTTCCAACATTCATAAACTTAGCATCTGCACACAACTTTGATGCCCAATTTCCAAATCTATCACTAGCAATCAGTTGGTCCACTTTTGCCACTTTCTCAATTTCCATAAAATAATCCTTATCAACCAGCATCCCTTCGGTTTCCATTTTCACCAAAAGCTCCCCAAAAGGACACCAATATTGTTCATAAAAATCAAACAATGTCCCCTTTGTAACCCCATTAAACTTCCACTCCCTATTTGATAGTTTACGTTTCAATCTCTCATAAATCTTGAGAGCACTTATAGAATCTAAAGTTGAATAACAAACCCATGGTTCCCGTTCTACCCTTTGAAGCTCTTCAACAGGTGGAATAATGACAATTTTACCCTCCTTAAATGGAGTAGGAGGGATATGGATTAAGGTTGTTATCAGAGAGTTCGAGAGAAGAGATGGCGAAGGGTTCTTCCACAAGCTATGCCTATTAATCGACTGAAATAAGAGATGATATAGAGAGAGAGAGAGAGAGAGAAAAGAGAGCAATTAGAGAGACATAAGAGACTGAAGTGATCAATTAGAGAGACAAAGATATATGGATGAAATTAGGGTTTTCCACGTTTAAATATAGGGAGAAGGTACTACCATCAGTTACGATCAAAGGAGTATGTGCAGACGTTTTCATTATGCTTAATAGGATTGTACATGATGTTATAATAGGTACACTTCTTAATTTTCAAGAAATAAACAATATGCTTAATAATATAGTAAAAATATATATTGAAAAGTCTCATATTGTAGAGATAAAATAAGTTTTTTTTTTATATGAAGCTTTTTCAAGAAAAAAATTAACCTAAAAACTTTTCTATTATAGATGCTCTTAACTTTTTTTAATGATTTATTGGGTTCTAAAAAATTATCAACTAATTGTAAATAAATAACTTACACAAACAACAATAAATGATAAAAGAAATAATGAGTATTATAAAAAAAACAAATTGAAACAACTCTTTTGAAGATTTTATTTTATTATTTTTTTTTTTTTTAACTTCTATCAATAAAAAATTTCTATTATCGTGTTCTTATTGCACCTCTAATATTATTTTGATTGATTTATTTAGTATTTTGTTTGTCATTTTCTTTGTTTTCGGTTACTTTCTCTTTTATTATCCTTTTTATTAATATTATATGTTTTTGTAATTTATTTTATTAGAAATACATCAACAATAACATTAAAAACAATAATTATAATAAATTATAAATTTGTTTTTATTAACTTTAGGAGGTAGATGGTTGGCATCATGATGAGTTCTTCAGCAGCTGATGGTAGAGAGTGTGATAACCTATGAAGAGCCTAGGGAGTGACCTTAGTCAGATGAGTACGCTGATAAGGGAGAGTACTCGTTGGAGAGCAAACATATGTAATGAGATTGACAATCGAGGAGGTTGAGCAACTACTTAGGAAATTTGGGATGATCCGTGTGGAAATTATGGGTAGATGTGGATGGTAGTATCAGCCCGTACTACTGAAAGCAGAGGACCCATACTCGAAACAATGAGAATTACAAAGGTTCTAAGTGGCAGACTGAGAGGATATAATATGGTTTGAGTACCATGATTACTAGCATATTGAGAAGATATGACATGGTTCAAGTACCATGATGAGTAGTCGTTAGTGCTTCTGTCTTTACCAGTTGTCTCGTTGTGGTTGTTCGGACTGAGAACTGATGTGATAGAGTATTGGGATAGAGGGTCATGTCGGACGAGCTTCAATAGAGTGTACCTTGATAAGGATATTGAGTTAGGTCCTGAGAGATTTTACTAGTGAGATGCTAGTTGGAGTCACAAGAATCAGGGATGAGTAGAGGTGATGCTTCGTGACAGATTGTGATTTGAGATGAGCAATCAGACGATAGTGAAGATATCACTTTCTGTGACAAGAATTGCGCTACCTCTGTTTCTTGTGTGGAGTGAAAGAGATAACGCGTTTCCATTTTCAGAGTTGGAGGTAAACCCTGTGGGGTAGCATATGGTTGCGACCTTTTCACCAGAGTATTTGGGTAGTATGTCTGTTGCAAGGTATTTCTTATACCATGAGAGAGTCATCAGTAGGGACTGAGATGGATGTAGACAAGAGCATACCTTTGTTGAATGCAGTAAGGTATAATCAGTAGCAGTTCTGGTTTATCCGGAGGAATATATCAGGGGGTGGCCCTCGTGGTTTACATCGGGCATCGATGATGAGAGTGAGATCTCTTGCTTCTATGATGATCCACGTGATGGAATGTTGGTTGAGGGATCAGGGATGAGATGTGTGATAGTGCATTATTGTCATATGGAGGGTCACGTCTACTTTGGAACAGTTGAGATGTTTAGTAGTGTGTCGGTATGGGATTTTGGTGACTAGGGGCAGTTACGTTGGAAAGTTTCGAGGGATTTCATCTGCGATTTGGGATATTTGGAGTTGCATGGTCTTTAGCAGAAGATCATCAAGTGTTATGTGGTACATTTCAAGAGTAAGTGTGTTGTACTTGGTGAAACAGTTTGGGGTGTAGTCTGTTGGTATGCCAATTGGCAATGGTTCGAACCATAAGTGGGGGAGATCTAGGGTATTTTGTTAGGTGGATCAATGATTTATCTTGAGTTTTGGTTTAGGGGTTTGGGTTATGGGGATCCACAGTGAGGATATTTGAGACTTAGGTAGTGGCGGGTAAGTCCAGATACATAGTGAGATGATGTACGTGTACATGTTCAAGAAAGGATGAGGGTATCCATGGCAGGCAGCCGTTGGTCATGGAAATTTATTGAGGTCTGGATTCAATTGTCGAACTACCAGTTTGATGTATGGATTGTTATCTGCATTTCGGGAAGGGCAGCAAATGTTTTGGCGGCCAATTTCAGAGTCGATATGGGGCCTTGTTTAGTGGAGAATGGGAGTTAGGATTATTGTCAATGTATTCTCAGTTATTGGTGACTCCTCCATGTTTCAACCATGAGATTGGGGTATTTCGAGGTTATGAGTTGTGCAAAAGGGAGATCAGTGGTCGTATCAAGATGTTGTGAGAATCTGAGACGGTGCATCACGGTATCCAAGTGTGACGCTGTGAGTGGAAGATCAATGGGTGAGGCAAGACATCATGGGATTTTGGGATGTTATATCTGGGTATCCGAGGATGAATCCCTAGATCGTTGGATCAATATGAGATATGAGTTTGTCAGATGGCAAGTGGAAAACCTGGCGACTATGTTTCCGAGTAAGAGGTCATCAGTTAGTTGTCACCAAACGGAGATTGTCTAGCAGTGTAACCAGGTTGAGAAAAAGTGTCTTGTCTACGAGAAGTCACATCGAGAGTAATGATGCACAATCTGGGTAGGTGTGTGTACCTATCTACGTTGGGTTGCGGAGCTTGAGCTAGTGTACATAGAATGGTGATGACCTAAGGATGAGTCTGTAGGGTGATAAGAGAGTGTGTTTTGATACTATGGGGAGTCGTACTACTCACTAGTCAGTGAGAGGGAGTTGTGATACTGCGGGGAGCCGTAGTATTCAATAGTCAGCGAGAGAGTGTCATGATACTGCGGGGAGCCATAGTATTCACTAGTCAGCGAGAGGAAGTCATAATACTGCGGGTAGCCATGGTATTCACTAGTTAGGAGAGGGAGTCGTGATACTGTAGGGAGCCGTAGTATTCACTATTCAGCGAGAGAGCGTCGTGATACTGCAGGGAGCCATAGTATTCACTAGTCAGTGAGAGGGAGTCATGATACTGTAGGGAACCGTAGTATTCACTAGTCAGGAGACGGGGTCGTGATATTTCGGGGAGCCGTAGTATTCACTAGTCAGGAGAGGGGGTCGTGATATTGCGGGGAGCCGTAGTATTCACTAGTCAAGAGAGGGGATCATGATACTGCAGGGAGCCATAGTACCCACTAGTCAGCGAGAGCGCGTTGTGATACTACATGGAACCGTATTATTCACTAGTCAGCAAGAGGGAGTCGTGATAATGCGGGGAGCCGTAGTACTCACTAGTCAACGAGTGAGTGTTGTGATACTACGGGGATCCGTATTATTCACTAGTCAGAGCATGACATTGAGGAGTTCATAGGCTTGGGTAGCCTTACCAAATGTGTAACACGTTGTTCTGAAAGTATTCATTTATGGATTTCGGAGGCCAATGTGACATCCCCAAAATCTCGG